ATTACTCATTAGTAAAATCGAAAAAAAAAAAAAAAAAGTACCATTTTACTACTTTAACTCTACACAATAAAGGAATAACAAGTTGTAATTAAAATCTGATTAATTTATTAAAACAAAATTAATACATTGCATCTTTTTATACAAAATAATTACTATATAATAAATGGCTGATTTTCTATTCATTAAAAAGGGGCAAATTTTACTGTCCCGCCTTGGTAGTGCCGACTTGCTACAGCAAGTCGGTCAATTCTTTCGAATCAAAATTTAAGGAAACCGACGATTAAAGCCGATGTATTTACAAAACGCTCTTTCGAAAGCGTAATACCTTGTTTTCGGTTAATCGAATCAAGCCTTTCCTATCTTATCTTGTATACCCGTTCCTGTTTTATCGCAAATCCTCTTGATCTTTTCAATCGGTATGCCCGTTAAGTATAGATCGTAGTCGACGTAATGTTCGAGAAGAAGGAAGAGGGAGGCTCGGAGCCGCCGGTAAAGGAAGATTTCTTCGAAGAGACGTCACATATCGATAATTCAATTTCGGCTCTCTCAACCCTCTGCCGGAAGAAGGAGCTGAAGGCTCGTAGGAGGCACCTCGTACAGGTAAACAATCGTAGCCTCCCTTGCTTTGCGTTGCGAATCGATTGAACCTCTATTATTATTATCCAAATTACTAAAATTCAAACCATCGTTCTCGATATCAAAGCTTTTTGCAAAAAAAAGTAAAAAGTTCTACCAGGAAGATGGAGCTTTAATAGTATTCATTGTTTTTACGGACGGACAACATCATCGCTACCGAGAAGAGGTTGAGGTCCAAGAAGAATTAGCCGAGGGACACCTTTCTTATGCGGCCGTAAAACCTGACGTTCAAGGAGTTATGAAGACTATTAAATCTCACCACGCTTGCGATTTTTCGGTCGTTCAAAGTGATTGTTTAATGCACTCATATTAATATCGTATATACGCGCAGCAGACCTTTTCTTCTCTCAGAGGTGTTCAGATAAAAACGGTATAGCGCGTCGAAGACGCGTCGCTAGATCTTCCATCGCGTCAAGACTACTGGTTAAAGCGGTATTGCGAATCTCGTTTTGCATATACAAGTTCGCAGCGCAATCGCTTGTACCGATCAAGATTAAAAGGGTGAAGTGGAGGCCCACCTAAGCGAGCCGACGATTACGAAGTATAGTTCCCCCTTATGTATACATGTCTGACACAGTTTAGCCCTATACAGAGTAAATCTTAGATCGGTGGATTCTGAATGGCTCAAAGCCTGGTCAACTCCGTTGCACAGACTAAATACGTAGTAATTGCTTAAAGCTACTGTTCAAGGCTGAATCGTTATAAAGTTAATTGGTTCAAGCCCTGGTAAGAGCCCTTGCTATACTTTCGACATTTACTCCGTACTCACAGGGGAGGACTGTACGGAATACGGAGTAGAGGGATTCAATCCCGGATCATGGGATTAGAGGTCACATGAGGCGATTTTCCTTTCCTCCGATTATCGATTATCGGAAGTGAGGGTATTTTCACTTAGAATTAAAGAAATGTCACTTGGAATTGAAAAACTTCAATTGGAAATATTGTACTAGTCACAACCCCGTCATAAGGATACGCTCGGGATGGGCCAACATAAGGATATATCCGGGCGATTATTATACCGAATTTCCTTAGCATCCCACCATAGAAAAACAGGGCTAACATGGTTGACCTTACGATGCCAAACAAGGATTTGGCGGCGTCTCTTTGGTTTCGCGGGTGCTGTAAAGAGATGGAAAGAAGTGAAGGAAGCGGCGCCATTATTACCGGTTTCGCTTCGAAGCGAAAGGTCGAGATTAGAATCAACAACAGAGGCCGTATTCGTAATTGCAAAGCTACGTTATTGTTGCAGTTATAACAGCTGATGTTGGAGGTGATGTTGAGTGGGGTGAGGAAAGAATTATGGGTTTTGTGTCACGTGTGAGCCCGGAATAAGGATATGCCACCAAACGAACCCCTATCGGGGCCCAGACTCTTCAGGATACCCCTATTAGCTAATTTATCCGTATTCAAATGGCTCAAAAATCGGTCTCTAGAAAATAAGGATATTAACGGGGTGTCCTGAGGTCGAGAACCCTTATGATGGGGTTGTACTGCATGCCGCGGACCAAAGTGGCCTCTAAATAGTAGTATTTCAAATATCCAGTTCCCGATTCAAGAGCCGCTTAGGTAGTTCTACGTAAAGCAATCGTTATCTGGAAGCGAGACTCGAACACGTCAAAGCGGGCCAAACATTTCCCATGCCTCAACATCCGAAAGTGAATGCCGCTCTATGCTAGTAGCCAATGTTTCCTCTGTGCGCTTAAACTCAAAATAGAAGAGCCGAGCCGTAGAAACGGCGTTATGGAAATCCACACAGCTCTAGCAATTACTAGAAGCCACATTTCTTCTCTCGAGCGACTCTCCTCTCGAGCAGCGGAAAAGCTAGCGACGCCTGACTCTTGTTTTGCCTGTGATAGAACTGGCTATACTACGGAGCAAGTAGAAATGTCTTGCGTCGATTAAATTTGAATTTAATCCGCTTTTTTCTGACATCTACGTCCCCTCGCGATCCTGCAATCAACCAACTTTGCGATCAGCTTCTTCTCCTTCCTATTATTTCCCCCCCGATTTCGGCTGATTGTGCGGGCCGCATGAGAAAACTTCTCATTACTTAGAGCGGCTTTCAGTTTAAGATATTGAGGTATGCGAAGTGATGATCCACTATGTTCGAGGCATGGGAAATCTTTGGTCCGTTAAAGCGAGGCTCGAAGCTCCCCCTTACGCAGCGACCCTGCGTCGATCTTTCCCCATTCTATCGTCTGGGCTTTGCGATACTCCATCTATTATCGTTCTGCAAAAGCATGTTGCACGTCGCAGATTTAGACCACAGCCAATAGCAGTATGAGTTATGGCGAAGGTTTACAGTCTTGACGTTTCACCATGACTATTATCAAGTCCAGGGCTGATCTAGGTCCTCTCTTCAACTGTCTAGAAGGTCGAAATATATATTTCTAACACCAGCTTCAACTCCGTACAGTTTCGTCTCGAGGATACGCACTGGCTGGTTCACATTACTTTGAATATGGCGCAGCAATCAGTCCATGCAACCCACAACCGCGCGAACTCGAGGAACAAATGGATGGAAGTACTAGGATTCGAAGAAGACTTCGTACACGAAGTAGACCGAAGCAAGGGACGCTCCCCGTCTGTCACTTCCTCTTCAGATAGCCAGGAGTCTTATTGCGATCTCATCCCATACCCGCTACCTTCTCTGGGTTGTACAACCCACCCTCCATTTCCAAGAGACATCACTTTCTTCCACTCAAAAGGCGACATGGTTCTACGGCCCTCGTTCCCAGCAGTCCCATCAGCCAGCGATGAACCACCGCTTCTACCATCGCCACAGCAATTCTACATCAATATCCAGAAGCACCCTCAGTTAAATACCGCACGACCGGATCTCATCCTTCACTCCGGCCCGACGAAAGCTTCAGCCATAATGTCGTTCGCCAAATTCTACTCCATGACCCAACTGACAGACATTACCCTCTGTCCGCCAGCCAGCTCCAGATCCCCTAGCCCGATAACCAACTTTTCGCTCCCTCGCTCCCCTTCCGCCAAGAAGCTCGAGGAACGCAACCGCCCGAAATTCAAATTCGAACAACTCGTCTCGACGGGAGGTCTGTTCAAGGCAGAGAAATTCGAGTTCAGCTACACGCTGCCCTTAAGCGACACCCGGGAAACTTTCGAGTGGCAACATGCCTCTGGTTTCTTTGGGAGGACGATTGGGAGGGACAGCGGGGGTTTGAAGCTGGTCAGGGCTAGTACGGGAGATGTAATGGCTGTCTATGTGGGGTTGGGCGAGTCTCGCAAAAAAAGGAACCCGAGTCGGGTGGTGGGCATGTTCAGGTTCTTGCCGGGGAAGGGTACGGTGGACTTGGATGAGGAGTGGGAGATCCTGGCTGTCACGAGTATATTATCTCTCGTGGAGAGAGGTACGAGGACGACGAAGGCGCGTCTTTCGAGTTGAACGAGATGGAGTGACTGTCTTGGGGGACTGGTATGGATTTGGAGTCCAGGAGGAGGGAGTCTCGTAGTGGGGGATTCATGTAACTGTAATTAGTCAGCCCTCTACGCAGTCCGTACACTGGAATTCGAATGTTGATCCGACAGACTCATAGCCATTCTTCTGAGCCGTCGAGGTGAACCACAACAAACACACGCTTAAGCCGCTTCTCACCTCGCACTTGTCGTTTCGGTTGCTATGGTACCAGGAATCAGACGAAGTCGTTGATTTCTGGCGTTTTTTGCCTCCCGTGATCAATTCCGAACAATCAGATAGATCCTTGAGGTTTTTTTTTTTTATCTATTTATTGTTTTTTTTATCGAGCCCCTTCCGTAGACTCCGATCATCTTTTCGTGGAGTGAGTCGTATGCAATCTCCTCTTTGTATCTCCTTACCTTGCAGGCGAGGCGAACCCTCCCTCGCCAAGAGTCTCGACTCGACACGAATTCAATGTCAATGCTCTGACTAAGCAGTCTGCTACTTTTTGCACAGTGCCACCATCCTAACAGGATACTTGTCTCGACTATGACCCGGTCCGACCTGGAATGTATAGTGCTGTCCTTGCCTTTCTCCTTGCCTTTCTCCTTCTTCCTCTCCCTCACATCCCTTGATTTACTCTGTTGCTAACAGTCACGCCCACGGACCGGCTCTCATCGTTCACTCCATTCCACATATAAGATCCGAACCGCCCCGCCCTTTACGGATCTTCCTCCCCACGATGGTCCAGAAAGGAGTCTCTCAAATGATTAACGGAGCCGTTCGCATCAAGTGGGGGAAGTACCGATTCGTGGTCCTCGCCGTGCTGGTGGTCAATGTTGTGCTCATCAATCATTTCTTCTTCAATTCGTCCTTCACCACGTACATCAACTCGCCGGAGGGAATTGAAGCAGTAAACGAATATGCTTCTACGCTGCTCCCCAACGGCGCGATTCCTGCAGACCCATCAACATTGGCCGCGCAAGCACCTGCCCCCGAACTGCAGCCGCTGCAACAGATTGTCGCGTTAGACAAGGTGCCACCGACCACACCCCCGATGCTACACCTGGATGATTATGACTTCAACGGACCGTACATTGGCTGGCCCCTTGCTCGGGCGTGCAACGAGACGAAATGGCAACCGGGCTTTGTGTTTGTCTGCGACAACAATTCTGGCGGAATTGGTAATATCCGGAATTTCATCTTGACATGTATCCGCTACGCCATCGAGGCTGGCGCGTCAGGGATCATCATGCCCAGAATCCAGCGCCGCTCCGAAGACAACTTAGCCAATATCTTCACGACTGGATTCCAGCCGTTCACTTACTTCTTCGACGAGAAACATTTCAAAGACTCGATGACGGAGTTCTGCCCGCAGATGACATTATACGACAACGTGGATCAAATTCCCAATTCCAAAAATAAGAAAGAGGCCAAGGAGTTCTACCCCAAAGAACTTAACAAGCAACCGGACGGATGTGATGGGCGTGGCGTGAACAGACATCTGGATCATTTCCGCCGAAAGATTGACGCCTGGGCTGTTGAGTTCAAGAATGTGCCATCTGTCGAGCGACCGGTAACGCTGCGGTTTAAGTGGGCGACGTTCTTCGAGTGGCCTATCATGCGAGACGGACCGGAGTTTGCAGCTACATTCGGGGACTTGCTGAGGATAAACAAGGATATCCAGGAGCTGGCTACTTTTACCATTAGAGAAATGGCGAAATTCACTGGTGAGGATCCTGACGGGAAGTCGCCCCCGAAGTATCTTGGTGTGCATCTGCGAACGGAGAGCGACGCCCTGGGATTCTGGCCCAATTTCGAGCAGCAGAGTACCGGATACATCAAGAAAGCTGAGGAGCACAAAATGAAGTACGCCTATCTAGCGTCTGGAAATATAACAGAAGGCCACCGTCTCGGCGAGCTTGCTGCTGAAAAGATTGGTCTCAAGACCACCACGAAGATGGATCTTTTGACGGGAGACAGACTTAAGCAGCTCACGGATCTGAGTTGGGATCAGCAAGCTCTGGTGGATTTCCTGGTGCTACAAAAGAGCACACATTTTACGGGATGTTCGTTCTCGAGTTTTGCAATGAACATTGCAATCAAGAGACATCTGATGACGGACGGAATCTTCTCCCGCGCGTGGAAGAGTCCCGGGGATCAATTCAGTACATTGGTGGGGAGATTCGAAAGCTGGTATGGCGACTGGATGTTCATGTACGAATGTATGTGGCCGTGAGCAATAGCCCAGCCTGCGGAAATTTGGGTCCTCCTACCGTCTGGATCCTTCAAGGCCAGCATTTGGAGTCTGTATGACTACGCCACGATTCGCTCGCCGCTCTCGCTTGAATAGCCTAGCCACCTTGTACTGTTACCCCGTTTCTTCTTTCAGCCATGTCTGATTTGGGTTTACGGCGCAACGGGTTATAGCATGTATCCAATACGGGCAGCCACGGCGTCTTGGGATATTTTTGGGAGCAATTGAGCGATCGAGCGAGCGAACGGAGAGGATTAAAAAAATGCAGATGCATCATCGAGGGCGAATGGTTTAGATCGAGGGCGGATGCGTGAGGTGTCGTCGTGTTGATTGGAGTCGGAGGATTAGAAAGCGAGGGAATGAATCTTTGCTACTGGACGCAGTTTTAAACATTTTTCTTCTGTTCTTTTCGCTTTCTTAAGGGGGATTCAACAACTATCCCCATCCTGTTATTCCCTCCGCCACTTTTCCTACCGAGGTCTGAAATGCACCAGCGTGCTTGCTTAAAGCGTAAAACCAACACCGCACCGGCGCGTCTCTCTCTACATGTAAGGACTGTGGACATCAAATTCTTCTGGCACTCACTCACTCGTCCATTGCTCATCTTGTTTGTTCATGCGCAGCAAGTGCAGGTGCAGGTGCAGGTGCAGGTGCAGGTGCAGGTGCTGGCGCTGGCGCTGGTGCTGGTGCTGGTAAACCACCAACCTACACAAATACGGATATGAGGACATGCATGCATTCCTATCTGCTCCAGCCAAAATATGTATACATGTATGCCAAAATATATATACATGTATATATATCCGTGCTACAGACTCTCTAAGCCTCAGTGAAGTTCGGCATCCAGATCCAGAAATTACAGCCCTTCTATCTATCCTTCCCATCGAGATATCTCGTCCATCATCCACTCTGGATTTGGAGTAGCGAATAGAGAGAGAGGTGAATATATATGTTTACTTGTATATATTTCAGATGAAATACAATGCATGCATACATACACACATACACACATACACACATATATGCATATTTCCAAGTTTTCATAGGCCTGGATTTCCAACCTTTTGGGACTTTGGATAGTCAGTCATTCAGTCTTTCTGTCAGTTAGTACACCTTACTTGTGAAATCCTACAAATGAAACCCATAATTAACGAAGCAAACCCAGTAAGCTAGTGAGTAAACAAATAAATGAATGAACGTGTGCGTACCAAAAGATTCAATCAGCCAACGCGCCAGACAGCCCCAGCCCATCCATTTCATTTCTATCAGGTAACAGTTCAATTCTCCACCTACCTACCTCCCTCCTCACCTACACTACCTGGGAAGCCACGATTCTCTCCCTATACGAAGTGCCTCCTACGAAGCCTCAGCGTTCTCCTGCGGCAGAAGAATCTGCAGAACGGGAATGAAAGCATAGACCTGCGGCGACTCTGTCAAGAGATCTTCCTCTCCTAGCGGTTCCTGACCTCCCTCTCTCCCTTGACCACCACGCCGATCACTACGCTTGATACCTTACGGGTATACCGATGGAAAAGACCAGGAGGAACTGCGATGATAAGAGAACGGGTCTAAGAAATGGGATGGGGCGAGGGCTCGGTTCGACAGACCGAAAACACGGTATTGCGCTTTCGATGAGGGCGCTTGGTAGAATAGATAACACACCGAGGACCCGATAGGTATGCGGGTTCCGAACGCGACCCGTTCCAGCTCCATGACGAGAGAGAGAGCGATGTTTGCTTGTCCTCTGTACTTGGAGCGAGGCTGCTCGCAAGGCTGGCTGTAAGTAAGCACGTACGTACGTATCCGACAGTTTATGCGAAGTCCGGAGGAGCCAGCTGCGTACCCCGTCGCTTGCTGGCTTGCTTGCTGGCGGCGGAGGGCCGCAGGTTCTACCTGCCTTACGACCTACCCTTCTTTTGAAGCGTGCGGAGGATAGCGCTACGCTGTGCTCGCTTCGGGCTTCGGCTTCGGAGTTCGCTTGCACGGACGACTCAATTGGGAAGGAAGAGCGACGAGGAAAATTAATCTTCGAAGAGGATGGAGGGGGGCTTGACGGCCGGAGGAGCGCTCCTGGCATGCACGCGTGTCTGAAGGTGTGCTCGAGAAAAGAAGGAATGAGCAAAGAGAGGAGGTTTCCTTGTTTACAACTACACTGCTTGCTCACATTCTTTCAGAGGGGGGTCGGATTGGGTGAACGAAGGCCGTCTCGAGGCTCGACTAAATTTTTTTTTTTTTTTTTCCCAATCCGGCTTCTTTTCTGCCGAGGCATACCTACTACACCAGAACGATAAACGGATACCGGTACCGGTACCTACCTACCTACGCTAAAAAACCTACCACACCACACCACACCGCACCGCAAGATCCGATAAACGTACCGAACCCCGTCCTCTCTCTAGCCTGCAAAAAGGGCGTAGGTTTTTCTCGCAAGCCTCTGCGGCCGGGGGCTCTACGAAGCTTGAAAATCAGTCAGTCAACTCAAGTCAAGTCAAGTCAACTCAAACCAGTCAGTCAGTAAGCATAACACCTAACTAAACCCCATCAAGCGCTCCCCGAGAATACTTATCCCGTGCCGATACTGGCCACATACCGTACCTACTACCTAGCCACATACAATTCCGACATTTTTTTTTTTCATTTTCTTTTTCTGTTCCATCTGCTACAGCAATACCTACCTGAGCTAGCTGATACATAGCGCCCAAGACCCCAAGACCGCATGACCCAAGACCGCAAGACGAAGAACTTCCCAGCGGCGCTACCCGATGCTAACCGACCCTAGTCGTTAGTCAATAAATCAATCAATCACCTCAATCAGTAGGTTATTTATTTATCCGTCTGTTTATTTATTTACTTACCTTGCGTGTATAATAAAAACCCACTTCCTCGTACAGACAGAGCAAGTCCGCAACTCCGCAACTCCACATCTCCGTAAAAAAACAAGTAAAAAGTGAGCGAGCACCAGCTTCATTCATCTAATTCATCTACCTACCTAGGTAGGTACCTCTACTTCACCAAAAAGCCATCTATTCATCCATCCATCCATTCATTCATCCCCTCTTCTTTCCATCCCATCCCCATTCCATCCCCATCCCCTTCATCCCATCCCATCCCCTTCATCCCCCACGCCCCAAGTGTAATGTGTAATGTGTAATGTGTAATGTGTAATGTGTAATCATCAGCAAGCAGTGGTGGTAGTGGTAGTGGTAGTGACAGAAGAGAAAATAATGCAACTGACTAACTCGAGACTCCTCCGAGCTCAGAGGTACCTCCTAAGACGGGGGCGAGGTTCAGTCAGGATCGTTGGTTTTGTGTGTGTGGTCTCTTCTGTGGAAACGAAACGGTGTAGATAGATGTGAATCAATGATGAGAGGCCGACGTGGGAGTTGAGCCAAGTCTCTCGGGCCGGAGCTACTCCTACTAGCAGTCAAGTGTTGAACGGTTCGTCGTGAACCAACTAGCCAAGCCAATATTGGCAATTAAGATGCTTCCAAGCCCTCCGCCATGCAGCCATGGAGTAGACAGCCGGAGCAAACGAATTGGAGAACGGAGCAGCGACAAACGAGAGAAAGTTTACTTTCTGATCTGGATTCATTATATCGGATCTACACTACTCAACACGCGTTTCCCACCACCCCACCAGCCCACGCACCCTCCACCCTCCCATCTGTGTCGAACAGAGGAGATACATCGTACCAGTACATATCCAACAGACGATCCGCAGTCAAGTCCAGCCAGATGCCACAAAACGCACAGGCTGGCATGTTGACCCCAGTCGCTGTTGGACCAGATCAGGTCATCGTTTGAATAGGAATCAAGATGTGGCAGATGACGAGGATATAACAGCATCAATGATATGCATTATGCCGTCCACGAGGTTCGTTGGGGTTCATGTTGGAGAGTCAAATGGAAAGCGACAAGGAAGGACAAATTTTGGATGTTCGGAAAGGACAGGAAATTGTGTGTGTGTGCCAAGGGTACACAGACTTTGGGGGCGAGGGTACTGTATCGTTGGTTCGATGCCCTTCGACGAGAGAAATAAACGAAATCGAGGTCCCGAGAGGGAAGAGGGTGTACAATCCTCTTCTGCGCCACACCTATGAACAAAAACACCAGCTCGGCCTTGGGACGTGGGAGAGCCGAAAAAGCAGACCGTTAACCATTGAACGCCGCGGGAAAGAAGTGATGCTAAAAGGACCCAGGAACTCGTTGTCGTCATATGTGCTCAAGCGTTGGTAACCTGGTGATTTGTTAGCCGGTCACGTCTCTCTTGTATGAGATGTGAAGTGGGAGTGAGTGGACGAGGCGTACCTTGAGAATTCTCCTCGAGTAATCTTGGTTGTCGGCGATGCTACCGTTACTCTCTCTCCGTTGTGCCATGACTGCTGGGTCAAGACGCGTGTCGGTGAAAGAAGAAGCACCTGCACTGCTAGTAGGCGGTTTGCCCCCGGCAATGAAGCTGTTCACAGCAGCGTTTCGCTTGTACTCCTCTTCTATATCTCGTCTCTTGCGGTGACGCATAAAAAAGAATAGACCTCCCAATATTCCCGCGATCACGAGGACACCGATAACGACGCCTGCAGCGATGGCCGCTGTATTTGAGCCCCCGCCCGATTTTTCCGAAGGCGGCGTCGAGACGGGGACTGATGTTGAATCGCCGCCAGCTGTCACGACTATAGTCACTCCTCCTTGCGTCACGACGGCTGGCTTGACGGAGGTGGCCTTGTTAGCTGGGGCGGATTGCGTTGCTGCTGGTTTTGATGATGTATTGCTCTCCATATCCTCCTCCGACGGTTCTGCGTTTGTCACCTCGAGCGTTAATCCGGTCAGGTATACACTCCAATGTCCACGGGCACCACCTAGTTACAGATTAGCCTGCTTCCGCCTAGACTGATCAAGTCTATACTCACAGGTATCATCAGGATACCCCGGACACGCCGTAGTGCATTTTGATGGAGCTACATTCGCTTCCACAGGGGGCAGAGTTTCACTACAGAAGCAGTAGGTTGAGTTGGTCATGGCCATCACGGGAAATTGCTTTTCATAGCAGGCATCTCCACAGGATCCGACCGAGTTGAAGTTGGAGGTTCCATTGAATATCAAACCCGTGCTCGAACTAAAGCAGCCCTCGGATGATCTTGTCAGAGCGACGACATTGGAAGCGGTCCAGAGGGCAGTGACCGTGCCGAGTGAGAGGATGGACTTCATGTTGATGTGGTCGATGGCCGGGGCCTAGCAGTGGTGGGTTGGTTTCGATCACTCGATGGTGATGGTTTTCTGGACTAAACGTTTTCGTCGGGGAAGTCCGGACGGAAACGCTGTATCTCCAGATCTCTCTGCACGTCGGGGCTGTGACGGAGACGATCTTCTCGATGGCCTGCCTGGACGACCGACGACCTGAAGGGGATCGTAGAAAGGGGGGGCGTGTCGGCGATGGGAGGGATGAGGTTGGAAGATGGACGACGGGTCGAGAGAGACGATCGGACTGTTGGATGTAGTGAACAGAGACTTCCTGAGTTTGTTTCAACTCGGGGCGTTCTTCTTGGAACGGGATCCCTGGGGTGTGCTGTGCTGGTTGGTGTTTGTCCGGATTCTCCTCTCCCACGAGGCGCGATCGGAATGCTGGACGACGAGATGTTTTTCAGAAAGGAGGCCGTAACGAGTGTGCCCTGGTGGTGGAAGAGATGGACGGGTTACCGCGAGAGAAAGGAAGACATCGGAAACGAAGGATGGATGTGTGGGTTGGGATGGGGTGGAAGGGTTGGAAGGGGTGGAAGGGTGGAAGGGTGGAAGGGTGGAAGGGCGGAGGAGGGAGGCGGTGGAGAGAATCGGGGGGGGTGGTGAGGTGGTTGAGGCAGAAAGGCTGGAAGGAAAGGGGAGATGGGAGGAACAACGCCAGAGAAAGCGAAAGGCTGTGGGACAAGTGGAGACGGGTGGGACGGGTGGGACGGGTGGGGCACTTGCGGGACCCGGGACCCCGGGACCGGCTTAAACTGGAACTAAAGTGGGGCCTGGAAATTGCACTCATTCAAAACATCCACTCTCAGCCAAAGGTAATCTTCAGACGTCAATCACGAAAAAGTATGAATACGTATGAATACGTATGAAGAGGTATGAAGACGTATGAATACGTACGAATAAAGAGGTCGATGAATGGTTGAGAGGGTCGAGAACCCATCGCTCGGCTATTTGTTTGTATAACCCATTCCAACCCTTTCCAACCCTTTCCAACCCTTTCCAATCCAACCCAACCCCACCCAAATCTATGTATGAAGCAGGACGGCTCAGCTCACCCGTGACCACTGACCACTGACCACTGACCACCGACCACCGACCACCGACCACTGCTCAGGTGGTAGCACAAGCGAGTATGGAAACAAGTATGATCGACATGACCCAAGTACTACGTACTACTGTACTACTACACGTTGTACACTACCTACCTCCGCCTACAGTGCCCCCTTTTCTTGTCAATTACTACAATAACCCTTTGTCTGGTCTGGCATCCTGGATAGGTAAAAGTACCGGTACTGCATCTGGATCCGGGTCTGGATCTGCATCCTACTCTGCATCCTACCGCCATCCAGCTCCGTATCTACTACTACTACGTACTATTTCCCTCTCGTCCCTCTCGTCCCTCTCGATTCCGCTCCGGAGCAGCAATTCAACTCGGACACAGTGACCAGTCATCTCGCTGGACCCGTGTTAGGAGTAGGTAGTACGGTAGTAGGACCTAGGTACCCGCACCCACGGACACCTACCTGCCTACCGATCGATCTAACCCCTAATGCGAATCCGCACCATGATCCCTTCCATTCCATTCTTATGGGAGTGACGATAAACTCTGTGATCAACACTCAGCCTCATCGTTTCTGCCGCCCGCATCGCTCGCTCATCTGGCGTTATGCTTCCATCTCGTACAGAGCAGAGTGTACTCTGTTACGTACAGCACGCAGCTCAGCACTATCGCAGGACAAGCAGCGCACAGCCTCTCGCACGAATGAGAAAAAAAAACAAACAAACAAACAAACCAAACAAAGAAAAAAGGTTCAAAGAAGCGCAAGGCGAGCGCTTGGCGCTGCACCTCCTTTTTCGCAGACCGGGCCCGGATGCTGGATATGGGTCACGATACAACTATTTATACTTGCCGCTGTGCATTATTGATTTCTTGTTGCATGATCCGCACGGGACGACAATTTTCGTACGGTTGTGCTGACACTCCACTCCCCACTCCGTATTGGAAGGAATACTAGGTAGTATAAAATGCTATGCTGGGTGCTGCATGCAGGAAACGCATCTTGGTGTCGTGAGGTCGAGGTCGAGGTCGAGGTCTGGCTAATGCCCGTCGGTCGTTTCTGTTTCTGTTTCTGTTTCCGTTTCTGTTTCTGCTTCTGCTGCGGTGCCCTCTTCACCCTCAGTCACCAGTCACACTCTCTCAATCCATCACGGAAAAGGAACACAAGTTCGTCGTTTCCAACAACACCAAGCATCTTGGAAGAGGATCCATCACGGCAGCCAAGGAAATCCTGACAGCTTCCTAACTTCCTTCATGTACGGAGTATAGTGGCTATGTACCCCCTTTCCCCCTTCCACCCCCCCAATGTTACAGCAGACGACGCCCTGTAACCTTCATGACCAGTAACCGGCGTTTCATCCTCACCGTGTCATCAATCAAGCCTCGCGTCTATGTTCAGCTGGAGGTACCGAGGACTGTACAGTACGGCCGACACTGCAATATAAAAAAGGCCAACGCGAAGGGTGCACGGGGGTGCGGGAAGCTGTTCTATACATATGCTCGTCCCTCTTGGTACTTCTCGCAGGCCGTCTCTGAGACAGCGCTTTTCTAATGCCTCAACTTTGCAGCCGCCGCGGCTTGCCCCATGCCCGGATATCTAGCACCATACCACGGGACAGGCCTAAGTATTACCCTTCGAGGGTGCCTCAAAAAGTTAGGTTTCCACTTTAAACCCCTTGGTTACCTTACCCTCGAGGGGCAATACTTACGAATACTTACCGAATGGGACGAGAGCTTTATGAGGCCTCGACAGAAGGGTGTTTGTGGGGCCAGGCCACGTGAGAGGATTAGAGCACGGACCAGGCAGTTGAGGAGTCACCTCCTTCTCTGATGGTTTCTATTTTCTAGCGAATATTTTACATCGACCTGCTCACTTTTAATTCCAGTCTTTCACTTGTAGCTAAGGGTTGTGTTGCTAGATAAAGTAGACGCAGAGCAGGGTGCACGTGCTTTTAAAGCAGTGCACGGATCTCGGGCCTTGGCACTGGTTCCTATAGGTACTGTACCGGTACTATAACCTCGCTCCAATTCTTAATTCTGAGAATACAAGTCAAGTTCTAGAGTTATCAGAATTCTATACATATATATATATATAAAGATACGTCACTTTGAGAATGGATTTATCGATATCAAGTTGTTTTTTTTTTTTTTTTTTGGTTCAATATTTTAAAATAAAAAAAAAGACCTCGATTCTACCCACTAACCTCCTTCCTTCCGAAACGAAATATATCGAGCTCAACCCTCCTATCGAAGAACACAAGAAGAGCAGCTCAACAGCCTCGTAAATCCCAGCCTCTAAAGTCGAGAGTCCAACCCATGACCTACCGTATTCCGTCGCTAGAAGGGGGGGCTACGATTCTTTCCCTGTACGAGGTGCCCTTTTACGAACCTTCCGCTTC